TGAGATACTGGATAAAGACAAAAAACCTATAGAAGCTGGTTCTAAGATCCATGTGAAACTTCAATATTTTGAAGTGACAAAGGACCATAATTGGGGTAGGGGTATCAGAAGCCAGAAGTTTCCTGGAGTTCCATATACATTTTTCTCAATGAGAAATGGATGTAAGGTTTCTCTATATCAAGATGCTCATATCCCGGACAAATTTGTTCCAAAAATCCCTCTTGCTGGAGGCAAGAATTATGAGCCTCACCGTTGTTGGGAAGACGTTTTTGATGCAATCTCCAATGCCAGACACTTGATCTACATAACTGGATGGTCTGTTTATACTGAAATCACCTTAGTGAGGGACTCAAGGAGGCCAAAACCTGGGGGAGACATCACTCTTGGGGATCTCCTTAAGAAAAAGGCCAGTGAAGGTGTCAGGGTTCTTATGCTTGTTTGGGATGACCGAACCTCTGTTGGTTTACTGAAGAAAGATGGGCTGATGGCCACCCATGATGAGGAAACTGAACATTATTTTGATAAAACTGATGTGCACTGCGTCTTATGTCCCCGTAATCCTGATGATGGTGGAAGCATAGTCCAGGAGTTACAAATATCTACCATGTTTACTCATCACCAGAAGATTGTTGTAGTGGATGCTCCGCTGCCAAGTGGAGACTCAAGCAAGAGAAGAATTGTAAGTTTTGTTGGGGGAATTGATCTTTGTGATGGGAGGTACGATACCCCCTTCCATTCCCTCTTCAGGACGTTGGACAATGCTCACCATGATGATTTCCATCAGCCAAACTTTGAAGGGTCTTCCATTAAAAAAGGTGGCCCAAGAGAACCATGGCATGATATCCACTCCCGACTTGAAGGGCCTATTGCCTGGGATGTGTTATTCAATTTTGAGCAGAGATGGAGGAAGCAAGGTGGTAAGGATCTGCTTCTTCCACTTAGGGAGCTTGAAGATGTCCTCATTCCCCCATCTCCAGTTATGTTCCCAGATGATCATGAGACATGGAATGTGCAGTTATTTAGATCCATTGATGGAGGGGCTGCTTTTGGCTTCCCTGAGTCACCTGAAGAAGCTGCCAGAGCAGGGCTTGTTAGTGGGAAGGACAATATAATTGACCGAAGCATTCAGGATGCTTATGTTAATGCTATTCGACGGGCAAAGAATTTCATTTATATTGAGAATCAGTATTTTCTTGGAAGCTCTTTTGGCTGGAATCCTGAAGGCATTAAGCCCGAGGAGATTAATGCTTTGCATCTAATTCCCAAGGAGCTTTCACTTAAGATCGTTAGCAAGATTGAGGCAGGAGAGAGGTTCTCTGTTTATGTTGTTGTACCAATGTGGCCAGAAGGTTACCCAGAGAGTGGATCAGTGCAGGCAATATTGGATTGGCAGAGGAGGACAATGGACATGATGTACAAAGATATTATTCAGGCTCTCAAAGCCAAGGGAATTGTTGATGATCCAAGAAACTACTTGACCTTTTTCTGTCTGGGAAACCGCGAGGTTAAGAAAAGTGGAGAATATGAACCTTCAGAAAGACCAGAGGATGATACAGATTACATGAGAGCCCAGGAAGCCCGTCGCTTCATGATCTATGTTCATGCAAAAATGATGATTGGTAAGCAATACAACCTTTTGAATGAAACATGCATAAACCCCCCACTCCTCTTTTTCCTTTTTTCACTTTCTGTTTCTATGAAAATTTTCTTTTGCCATTATGATTATAGTTTCTCATAAATATTAATTTGTTTGAGTTTTTATTTTTCTTTCTCTTGTGCAGTTGATGATGAATACATAATTATTGGGTCAGCTAACATCAACCAACGATCAATGGATGGTGCAAGAGACTCTGAGATAGCAATGGGAGGTTTCCAGCCATATCATCTGTCAACTGGACAGCCAGCACGTGGTCAGATTCATGGTTTCCGTATGTCACTGTGGTACGAGCACCTTGGCATGCTTGATGATACCTTTCTTTATCCAGAAAGTCAGGAGTGTATCACTAAGCTGAACCAAATTGCTGAGAAATATTGGGATTTGTATTCAAGTGAGACACTGGAGCATGACTTGCCCGGACATCTGCTTCGCTACCCAATTGGTGTTTCTAGCAATGGAGATGTCACTGAGATGCCAGGCACCGAGTTCTTCCCTGATACCAAGGCTCGTGTCCTTGGTACCAAATCTGATTACCTTCCTCCAATCCTCACTACTTAAGACCTAGCTGCTTTGTTCTATGGTAACAACCTCCTACCCTGTTCTACTAGTTTCGGTATTACAGTAATAAATTCTTACCCTTGCGTTAGTTGGATGCTACTAGTTAAGTTATTAGAGACCACTAAATCGAGCTTTGTATCGCAGCCTGGGTCCTGTGGGTTATTATATTATTAACTATCTGCACAAGTGTTCGTATCTAAACTTGTCTTTGTAATGCTATGGTGTGAATTTTATGCTGACTGTTATGAACTAAAATATTTGCTTACCTACTCAATGCTGATTTTTAGTGGTTGCAAAATTGTGATAAATCTCGTCTATGGTTCTCATGCTGTATTTATTCTTTCAGCTGAAATGAAAGAATATTTTTGTAAGAATGAATCAGGGGGAGAGGTTGGGCTTCGTGTGTGTTGTTTGTTTGTTTGTTAGGGTTTTTTTTTTTTTTTTTTTTTTTTTAATGAAAGGACAATTGGGAAACTAGATCCTCTTTATGTTCTGGAACTCAGTTACAACTTTGATCCTCTATCAACTAGTACTCCTTTTAGAGAGATGAATTTTTAAATATAAAATTTTCCAAATTTTCATTAAGTGGATGAAATTGGTGCTCTTCTTGCCTGGCAACCAGACATTAATGTTTAAACATTAGGGGCCACATGTCTTTATTTCTTTCATTCATTCTGGAGAGTTGATAACCTCTTACCTTGGTTGAAACTGCAAGCTCCCCAACAACCTCAACAACTTCAACAA